TACTGTGAAAATAGGAAGTGTGTTTGAATAGCAATGTGCATCAGTAATTTATTACTTTTTCTGGTCTATTTCAATAAAAAAGATACATGTACAAAGAAAACGAAAACAATCAGTTATTTAAAAGAGTGTATTTATATATAAATACAAGTAATGCATAGGAAAACGACGTTAAGGCATTATTTGTTAGTAAAGGCTACACATTTTTCCTAGCATATGCTCTATTTTTTTCAATAGTTCTTAGATATTTCATGTTTCTTCAAAAAGCTCGCATACAAAAGTTGTTAGTTTCAGAACATCGAAGAGGATGAAAAACAAAATGTATAGATTTAAAACTACTTCCATAGCCATTGCTACACGTCTTTGCTTTACAATAAACGCGTGATTCATTATTGTTGTTGAATGCTTTGTCTTAGTTTCTTATAGTTGTAGCTGAAACACTGCTAATTTTCATATTAAATAATTTTCTTGGTATTTTTTTCATGTGTTCACGAAACTTTGCCGATAACAGCAAATAAACATAAAAGATAGAATAATAGTTTATATAGAAAAATAAATAGATTATTGTTAAAAACAGATTGTCTTGTACAATTCTTAATTGATTTTAATTGAAAACATCTTAATTGATCTGCATTAGTAACATCGATGTTAATTGATCTGCATTAGTAACATCGATGTTAATTGATCTGCATTAGTAACATCGATGTTAATTGATCATCAATACGTTGTCTTCCGCTCGATGCTATTGTCGCTAAATGGTTATTATTTTGCTTTCTTCTGCTTTTCGAAGATTTCTGAATGTCATCAAACTAAAAAGAGAATTCCATTAATGATGTCCACGTTGATAGGGAATTTGGGGGAATTAGGGAAAACATCACTAAACCCTATTTGAATTTAGGAATATCCAAGCTAGTTTTCAAAAGATCCTCTGGAAAACCGCTTCGAAAATTTTTCAGAAAATCAGTTTTGCTTGTTAAAAGATAGCCTCAAGTTTGGCTATCGAATGATGAAAACCGCAAGTGACTATCTTTATTTGACACTAAGTTATTCAAAAAATAGTCACATGCCTAATTTTTTTGACAGACAGTAGTTCATTATCACGAAACAGAGCAAAGCAATAAAATAAACACGGAGAAAGATGAATGCAAGCTTCAAAAATACGACGCATTCATTGGTTCGCGCAGATTAATAGAAATTACGAGAGACTTCACGAAAACATCAGATTGTGGTGAAAAAGCGACACTAAGGATGTGTTCGACTCTCCGCAGTAAAGTAGGTATTGTGTTGAGGAGAAGCGGAAAAAATGAATGTAAATTCACACACTGGATTTTGGAAAATCGTTTAGATCTATGAATGTTAAATCTGTCAAAATTTTAGAAAAATATAAACTTTTCACGGGCATAACTTTTTTTGACAAACAGTAGTTTTGTGTGTAAAATGAATAAAAATGTATTAAAATCGTTGAAAAATGCAGAAGTGAGGTCGGTATAGTCAGTTAGTGTAAGATGAAAGTCATAATCATGATTTATAGGGTTTTAAAGATTTAATTACCTGAACGCTAGAATCATGAGCGGACAGCAGCTTATTTTTTACGAATAGTAAACTTGACCCTTGTTGCGTCAGTTTTTAACTTTTTCACCTTAGCGTTAGAACCTGAAGAATAACTTCATAAAACTCGACACAGTCTTAGGGAAGACGATGTTGGATTCTTCCATTGAGAGTTACGATGGTGACTTAATTTCGGATTCAACTTACTAGTAATTTCGAGAGAATCAATATGTCGAACATCTAATCTAACCATACACCGCTTAATAATACCGAGAGATTTGTATTCTTTCTGTGCTTGCTGATTTTCGCGTCCACATAAAATTCATATGTTAACAAAATCAGCACTGTTGAAACATCAAAACATTAACGTATCAGCAATATTATGGTCATCATAATTATGCTGTAGAAGAACACACATCTAGTTTACACTAGTAAGTAAATTTCGAAAAAGAATGCACTATTTTGATTTCTTCAGCAAAAACAGTATTCTTGAACAATTTCGTAACTTACACTAGAAATAAACTTTAAGTGGCAGTATCCTAAAACTGAGCGTACTTATCCAGAGATGAGTTAAAAAGGATTACGTTTCCTAGCATGTCTCTAATAGACGTTCCCAAATTGTTAACACTAATCTAGGTAGAAAACTAATTAATACTGGATTAAAAAACTATACGAGATAATAATAATAACCCTTGTTTGATAGAATACAACTAGTTTGTGGTACAGTGTAAAGTGTGTAAAATATCGGGTGACCCAGAATAAATGAACTTCCTCGTATTTTACTTATAATTTCTTTTCTTTTCAATCCTTAAACTTGATTGGTTTTCCAACAGATGCGTCGTCAAATTCTCTGCAAAGTTTGATCAAACTTGTCTCTATGAAACGTTAAGGAGAAACATGAAACGAAGAATACTCAACATGATGAAAAGGATCAACCTTCTCCGTTTTGTTCCACAACTTTCATTGAGTTGGATGATAAAAAGAAGAGAATATACCCATTTTGTAGCCCTTGAAAAGCTCTATCAATCAGTATTAGGTGCACAAGACAAAATCAATCTTTAAGGCTTACGTCGACTTTTTCCTCTTTGATGCTTTGCAAAACCCAGCTATTTGAATGTGCAGATGCGGAGCTCCTGGAAAATGTGCGTCTAACTTACCTAATATTCAAGCAAAAGAGCAAATCATGGCTAATAATCATTCTCTTTTATTTTGACCTAAAAACAGTTCTCTATGCATTCACAAAGTTATTTTAGTTGATTACCGGTAGCTTTATGCTTGTTTCGTTGTCTTCCATCCGTTTTTGTTGACGTCTAAAATTTATTCTATTGCCGCACTTCATCATTAGACGAAATTACTTAAAATCGAAGTTCGAATCTTTTCTATCAACTTACCTACAGGATCCTTCGTAAATCAAAATAATATGATCGATTCAAAGTTCGACAGTTCGATTCAATTTCTTATTTTCATCAAATTGTAAATGTGGCTTACGCGCGCAGCTTCATACACATTACATACAATACCTGGTGCACAATGAAAAACAGAGGTTTCCGGAAAACTGCTGAAGGGTAACAGTTAAAATCTTGAACCAAAACGTAAATGGGTTTCCAATCAGTTCTGAAAATATGAAGCCTTAGTGAGTTTTAGTTTTTATTTCACAGCATTTCTATGGAAAGCCGAAAACGAGATGTGGCCTCCCTTAATAATTGCAGATGTCTAATTTAATTCAAATATCCGAATCCATGAACGCAATTTTATAATTATTTAAAAACAAAGATTTACTCGACGTCACTTTACACCAACTTCTAGATTGGCTAGCTGAATTTTGTTTCGTATAGTACTTTCGCACAAACTTCAACTAACCGACACAATAAAAATAGCTGGAAATATCTGAGAATAATTTAGGGCGGCTATCTCTTTTGAAAATGTGACAATTGTCTGATAAGACTTGAGAGGGAACCTTTCGACATGTAACCTCTCGATTCCAATGATTTGTACATAGCTAGATAGACCTCAGTAAGGAAGTAAATACCTCAAAAGGATTCATCCGCATGACGCTTGAAGGTCCAGTTTTATAGAAAATCAGTTTTTCAAGAACTCTAAAAAATAATCAACACCTTTTTTAATGAGCATGATTGTACCCTCCAAATTTCATTAAGATGAGACATCATCCAGCTGAGGTAGAGTTGGGAGATCACATTTTAATGAGAAATTTGCGGGCCACAATCCTCCTCCATTAAAAAAATGTCTGGGCTGTTTTTAGAGTTTCTGAAAAACTGGTTTTGCAGAAAACCTGGTCGAGGTATGAGTACGAATCCAATTGCTGTTTCCAATTGCCCCAAGTGGGGTAATTGGAAATGTTCGTTAGAGCTTTTAGCAAAACATCGGGAAGTTCGCTTGGGACACGGAGTTTTTGAAAATGTTTAGCTAGGCTTATAGAGAACTTCCTCTACATACTCGTAAAAAAATCTCAAAAAAATAATTAAAATTAACAAAGTTCTACTAATTAGACGTCCAAAGAGCATAAAATCGTTTCCAATTGCCCCAGTTTATTCTAACCCTCCTAGTTTGATGTCTACTAAAAACTTTTGAAAGTTCTTTGTTAATTTGAAACATAATCACACTTGGTATGCTACATATACAATTTCGCGTATATAACAACTTGAGTTAGAAAGGTTGTTTAATCCTTTTCTCACTCTAGTATCTTTAAGTGTACTTCTATTCTTACACTGTTAAAATGTAAGCAAAGATGAATTTAGGGCTTTTCTTGTTAATTCTATAACTTTGCAAAAGGTCATGTAGAGCTGGTAGATGTCTCATTTTAATCAGATTGCGGGCTACAGTTAACACTTATTTAGAAAAATTCTTGGGGATTTGTCGAGCTTCTTAAAAAAGCAGTTTTCCAGCAAGCGGTTAGCAAAGGTCTATGGGCAAAAACGGCTATCATATTCGGAAACAGCCGATCGATTACCTATCAAGTACCGCATTGCGTTAGAAAAGCAGTTTTAGCATTTTCATTATCATTTGTCTAAGTTCAGGTTTATCTCTGCTGTTGATATAGTGTAGGGATTCTTCTCTATACGATATTTACAAGAATTCTTAAAAACAAAATTCTCTTTTATATCTAATGTGAGCAACGCAAGACACGTCACTTTACACCAACTTCTCGATTGGCTAGGTGAATTTGTTTCGCATACTTTCTTTCCCACAAACTTCTACTAACAAACACAGAATAAAATTAGTTGGATACACCTGAGAATAATTTAGGGAGGCTACCAACTTTTAAAAATGTGGCTACCAAAACAATTTTCTGATAATTATGTAAGGCTCAGAAGAGTTTTGGCATCAGTTGGCTTCAGTTATTTGGTATAATTATTTGTTATGACAGGAATTTATTATTAAAGAAATTACTAAAAACATGAACAAATAGATCATCGAAATGAAAATCGTCTTATTTTCTAATTATCGACAACTAATTTTTGTAGTTGTTGAATATAAGCGATCGCTCCACTAACAATATCCATTCTTGACATTCTTCGTCGTTTTTTACCAACTTGTATTGGTAATAAATCTTTCAAATGGTCAAATGCTTCATTTAATGTTTCCATCCGTTTTCGTTCACGGTTATTAGCCGCGTGACGTTGATCAATTAGAGTTAATTTTGAATATTTTGTTCTTTTGATTGGCGATGAACTTGAATTATCGTAGTCACTCGTAGTCAAATGTTCTGTTGAATTCAAAATTGAAGGATACAAACAGGATTGAGGTGTTGAAAAATAACAAGCCTAAAATAAGAACAGTTGTCCTAATAAGAAAACTGTCTGTTGTTTTAGGTAGCACGTGGTCTAGATTCGGGACTATTCTAAGTATGTAAAAGTATCCGCATCAAATGATCACTACCCACTGAATCATACTACTCTCTAATCACATCTCATTACCACACAGTCAATAAATAGAATATTGTAGGTCTCCACAAAGATATATTTTCCTACCTTTCGATCGTTTTGTGAGAATATGGGTGATAAACACTGTTCACAACTTGTGTGTAGACTATCATAGCCAGATGAAAATGAGGACGATGTATTGAACAGAGGATTAATTTCTTCTGGTAATGACGTGAATGGTAGATAATAAGAATAAGTCGGATGTGAAGATTGAAAATGGACTGGAGAAGGATAAACTAGTTGATTTTGAAATGGTTGTAGACTCATTGTTAGTGTTTAGTGCTCGACAGAAATTGGGAAAGTGAGTAGGAATAGGACAGAACATTTTTATTTATAGGAGTATGTTCATTTCTCGATTATATCATCATTGTTATTCACAGTTGAAAGCATTTTTTT